TGAAGCCCTTCTGCACTGCTTGGCAGGAGGAGGGGCACAGCAGCCTCCCAGAGCGAGGATGCATCGCTGCGACCAACCCCTGCTCGCAGAGCACCAGACCTCATGGTTGCACTGTTACCACAGGAGAACACGCTGCAGACCCCAAGGCCCAGGAACAGGACTCCTGGGACAAGCGACAACCTTGTCTGCAAAGCACCAAGGGGGGCAAACACAACAAAAGTGGATGATGGTGGGCAGAAGCCTTCTCAGCCCTTGTTCCACAGGAATCACACCCTGAGCCCAGCCCAGTCTCCCCTTGTAGTGGGGAGAATGGAAGGCAGCAACCAACAGACAGGAGCAGAGTGTGGGAGCAGCCACTTGAACAAATCCCTGCCAAATTCACAAAGCTGTCACAGCAGAGGGAGGGAAGAACATCCCTATGATATTCCGTGAGCACAGTTTGTCACTAAACTCACAGCAGTTGGCTTCTGCAGAGTTTCAACAAGTGGGAGCAAGGGTTTATGACTGCCCAAACAGAAACAAGTTATCCGTTTTCATCTTGCTTAGAAAAATTAATCGTGCTTGAGGGAAAGTGAGTGTTCTGGTGGATTTTGGCTTTGGGGGGGTTAACTGCATTTTGGTTCAGCCAGGAGGTAAAAAAGAAGGGAGGAGGAATCACTCTTCACAGAGCATACTGTAATCTGCTGGTGAAGAAGGCCTTCCTGACCTCGGCAGCACTGGAGCAGGAGCAGTCTTGCTCACTCTGCCAGCAGCTACCTCCAGCATCTTTCCAGGGAAATTCCAGAGGAATTTTGTCTTCTGTGTCTCCCTATTTCCCATCCCAAGGAAACGGGATCCTACCTGCACCCCACTAAAGCAAAACCCAGGTTTGTAAAGATATCACTCCTTGTATCTTACAGAGGCAACAAGCAGAAGGATGATTAGAAAAGAGTCCAAGCCTGGCACCTTACCTCCAGGGACAAAGGCCAAGAGGCAAGAAGTCTGTGTTTACCTACGGACATGGAGAAGTCTCCGCCACCCTCAACACCCAAATATCAAGTAGATATGAGCACAGGGCTGGAAAACAAGGCAACAGAGGAGAGAACCCAGAGGCTCTTTGGAAAAGAGAGGGGGCTGCTTTGTCATTCTGCATCCACAAGTGCTCAACACAACCAAATACAGCCACAGGGGCGGGGCAGAGCACACAATGAGTATTCCTCAGCATCTTTCTGCTAACAGGGCACAGAGCAGTGAGGCTTAAACTGATGTTTCAAAGCACTCTGGCAGGTACTCAGATCCCACAGCATCTAGTACACTTGCAAAGACAGGGGTCCTTTGAGGCTGGGATTTCATCTAATCCATTTGCCATGCCTTGCTACATCCCTGACTGTTTGGGGAGTGCTCTTTCCTGCCCACATCATCCATAGCCGAGCACCAGGTTGTAACTGCTTCTGGAGCCAGGCACTCAGAGCTGGACCTTAACCAAGCCAGATGTACAACACCAACTCCATCAGCACTGAGAGGGCAAGGGTGCGAGCAGAAAGGTTACCACATCGTCACTGCACCAGTCAAGTTCAACAGCTTTCTGAAAGCAAACATAGTCCCCTCTTATTTGCTATCCCAAGACAGGAGCAGCCATCCTCCAGACTGAGCCTTGCCAGATTCATTTCCCAGAGCCCTGCTGCACAGCTCAAACTCCCCGGGGTCAGTGAACTGGGGCTACGCAGCACACAGTGAGCAGAGTGCTTTGAAGGTACCTGCTCCAGAGGACCATACTGTCACTCCAACGGCAACAGCATCAGAGTGGAAAACTAAAAAAAGAATAAAAAAACCCCAAAAGAACAACAAAAAAACAAAATAATCTTCAGGCTGCATTCAGTCCATTTTACCTCTCTGATTATTTCTACAATGTATGTTTCAGAGGAAAAGCAGGCAAAGCCATTTGGAGTAGTTCTGATGATTACATGCCACTAGACAGCCTACTGGCTAAACCATTAGAAACCAAACCCAGCAGTTCAGAAATGAGATGCCAGGCTTCCTGACAATCCATTTACAGAAAAAGCATCTTCCCTTTAGCATGTAAAAACATGTTTACTGCCAACAGACAGCAAAAGCCAAGGGCTGCAAAAACCCACAGAACACTTCAAAACGATGCATTTCCTCACCAAGAGAGGAGGTGAAACTGCTTTCTTAAACACTCATTTTTGCTGAGCTGCAGGTGTTTATGCAACTTAATTTTGGAACTAAGCAGGAAAATTACCCCATCTTTTCAGGCAGCGTTTTCCTACCAATACTCATCAAAGGGGAGGAGAAGCACCTGAAGGTCAAATGCACATGAGTGCACGTCCTGTGGGGATGCTGAGGAGGTTTAAGCTCTGCTGATTCCCAAGTAACAACAGGCACCCGAGGGCTGTGTGACACACCACAGGCGGGCTGTGCTCAGCAACATCACAATTTTAGCCAAACTGACCCAATTTCCCTGAGCAGCACTGTACAGGCCAGCATTTGGAGAAGGCAAATGCAGACATGCCTGGGGAGTTCTTGTGCCTCTCCACTGCTGCACTCATTCAGGCCTCTTTCAACAGGCACTGCAGAGCTGAACACCATTCAGGGGCCTCATCCAGCACTAACCTGGCCATGGAAAGACTGCGCTGCCCTGAAAGCCTGTGGATCAACCTCTCCACCAGCTCTGATCAACAGCAACTATCATTAGTGTCAGAGCCATACACTGATTTGAACCACCCTACTCCTTTCTACGCTTCTAAACACAAAAGCTGCTGCTAGGAGCCATGCCAAAGGTCTCCTCATCCTAACCTGCTCTAGTGAAAGGTGTCCCTGCCCATGGCAGGGGGTTGGAACTGCATGAGTTTTAAGGTCCCCTCCAAGACAAAAAAGACCATGATTATAACCTGCTGTGGCAGTGGTTAACCTTGTGTTAGCTTAGACTAACCTCAGCTCCATCACCATCATATTTCATCTCCTGAATGGCTGTTTCACTCTTAGCATTAGGAAAGAGAGCAGCAGGATGAAGCTGTATGGGCTCACGATGCATTTTGTGCTGGATTCAAAAACCTGGCACCATTCTGAGCTGCAGCGAAAATGGGAAATTCTGAAACTCTTCCTAAAGCAAAACTCACTTTGCTTTCTCATGCAGAGTTACCATATACAGCACAACCCCCTTCAGAACAACACAACGTGGCAATGCTATTTACAGCATTGCTTCTACCAGCACTTTTACTCATTTCACTTGCTGAAAAGCAGGACTGAAGTGTTCTGCAATGACATGCAATTCACTGAAGTCAACAGGTAGCTTCCACAGACAGCACCCCACGGCCCTTCCAACCAAGACAACTCAAACATTTCTGCCTGCCACCCATCGCAGCGTTAATGACTGACATTTCCACTGCCCTAACAGTCCAAAAGGAAACCCACAAAACAACACATGGGACCTGAACTTTGTTGCTTTTGTTTTCTTTGCTACAGTACTTTCAGTCAGTTTGCTGTTCCAGGATGTATTCTGCTGTAATAATGTGACAATTCAGGTTACAAACAGAAATTCACCAATGTGTTCTTGCTTCTTCTCTCCCGAACACTACACAACGTGCTCAGTAATTACCATTTTCTCTTCTGGAAAAGGGGGAGAAAAACACCCCCCCACACCACAGGTAAAATCCCAAACGTTTCCTATAGGCCACTTAATTTGGGGAACGCAGCAGAAAGAGCTGATGAGGATGGTGAGATAGTAGGTGTTGATGTACCAAGATTACTATAGATGCTGACGTGAGACTGTAAGACTGGATCTGCGCTATATGTGAGATATGCAAACAAAAGAAAAATGGAATAAGAAGAATTTCTGTACTGTTTTTTTTTGTGTCTAAAAAGATTATAATCATCCATCTGTCCAGAACTGTTATTAAGGATTATACTGGAGGAAAAATTATAGGCAGAGAAGCATAGCAAGAGCTGTATTTGTTGCAATTTCTCTTGGGACACGTAACCTACATAAGTCCTGAAGAGCAGAGGAACACCTTTCCCTTCCCTCCCTGAACTGTGAGGAAATAACATCCGAGCTCTGCTTTGAAAAGAAAGGACTGAGCAGTCCTTATAAAGATTTCTCTTTTAATAGTGATCCATTAAGATGACATCTATTTGGGTAGAAATAAAAATAATGCAATTGACTGGATGCAAACTGAAGACTCCCTATCTTACTCTTTTGTTCCATCATCCACAGAAAGTTTTTTGAACAGGATTGGCAGTGATTTTTCCATTTAACTAAGGGACAGGAAACACCCCTCTAAACAGAGGGGGCTCTTTCAGAACAAGTACAAAACATTGACAAAGAACCCCACATGGCTCAGGGAAGGCAAGTTCAAAAGCACATCAGCTCCTTTCCTGCAGTTAAATACCAGTGTGCCTTAACCCCAGCTGCAGGCAGATCCCTGAGGAACTGGAGTGTCGTGGTTTAAGCCAAACCCAGGACAAGGAGGCAAGGAGATGAAGAGGACCCTGCTAAGATGCCTCCCTGAAGAAAAAGCCACATTTCAAACTAAGCCCTATTTCTCATCAGCAGATCAACCCAACCTCAAGCTACAGAAGATGGGGTTTCTTTGGGCCCACTGCTGATGGAGGTACTTGCACTAAATATGTGACTACCTACTGATTTCTCAGGTAATAATTCTACTAACAGACATCGTCACTATGCAAATCCCACTGCTAGAACCACACACAGTGTTTATGCAAGAACCACAGAAGACATGCTGCTTATGATCTCAGCACTTGGCTATTAGTATGTATTAAACATTGTCCTGTATTCCAGCTGACAGCAAGTCCTCCTCTGAGCCCTGGCTGCTCAGGGAATTTGCAGTACCCATACAATGCATGCACAAAACAACATCCATGTTTACTGACTTAAAAATCAGTAAGTACAGGTTTGTGGCAGTAAAGGTGATGCCAACACAGACACCTGGAGCTGAGAAAGTCAACTGTAAGACTGAGGAGCCAGAAGTAACTTTCATTCCTACCTGGTTCAGTGCAATTTCTGACATACGGCTGCCCTCCTTCCTCTGGGACGTCAGTCGTGTTCTCCTCATTCGTTTGCAGTAGCTGTCTCCCGCTCCGTTTGTCTTTACTTTCCACAGAAGAGCTCAGGGCATCATAACCTAAAGTGAAAGAGCAGTAGATACATGAGACTGCACAGGGAAGGCAGCCAAAACATTTGCATTTCAAACCCCATATCCCTTGGGTTAAAACCAGCACTGTTTCTAATCCCTCTGGAAAGGCACGCTGCCATTAGCTCCACATCCCAGTTAGCCCCAGAAACATTAGGAGTCAGGTTCATTCTACCACAACTTCACAGTTTCATACTAGAAGATCATCTGGGGTTTCACAAGAAGTTGTAAGCTTCAGTCAGTTTAACACTGGAGAATCACTGTTGTTTTGGATAAAACCCAAAATAAAACAGAACAAAACAAAAACCCTACAAACCACCACACACAGCAAAACCACCTCAACTTAGCACTTGTGTAGCATTGCGCTGCTCTTAAGCATCTGCAAAATGCTGCTGAATTTTGCACAGGCTTATACAACATTTAAGTCGTTTCTGTTTAGGCTTGCAATCCAACCTGCTGCTGAAGGAGGCCTCAGAAACACAGCGCTGGACACAAACGTTTGGCACTCTCAAAATGGCTCTTCCTAAGCCCAACCACACCATTATCCCCACCCAACGCAAACCCAACGAGGTCAGAGAGTGCCTCCGAGTCACTGCAGGAGCTCTCCCTACTCCCACCCATTAAGAAACATCTGTAAACCTCAGGGGCAAGTACTTCATATAACACTGAAAAGGGATAAACCAGGAGTCAACCGTTAAGTGCTCTTCACCATGCCCTGTCCTCCTAACAAGTGTGTCTGCACACTGACTGACCTCTCGGCTTCCCAACACCAGCCATGTGACTTTTGCTCACCGGTTTCTTTGCCAGCAAGCCCCAGACCTGGCTGCAAACCAGCTGTACACTATTGAAGCTTCAGGGCTACACACGGTTGATCAAGAATACCGAGAACACCCCCAAAACTCTATTTCCAGGCCATCAACCCAGTGAAACAAGAACCACCATCTGGAAGGCAAGGATGGAGCAAAGAGCAGCCAAATAAGGAGCCTGACACAGCACATCTTGGACTCCAGTGAAGGATGAAAGCGGCTAGCACCAGGACTTGGCTGCTGAGAAGGCACAAGGAACTTAAAAGTGAATATTGAGAAGCGAGTGCAGGCAGCGATAGCTGGGCAAGAAACACACCAGGAAGTCAACTCGCTGGGCACCAAACCCAGTTTGTACAAGACAAACGTGAAGACACACCACACCACACCAACCACCAGCGCTCAGCAGCAGCTCAGCACATCACACCGGAGCTGCTTCACGACCCAGGCTCAGTGCCCAGGCTGGTTTCAGGTACAAGCACACAGCAAGTAACCCCACAAAAGGTAACGCACCACTTTGCCTCATCACTCCTGGCTCTTTGCTTTACTCCCCACTTCAGCTTTGCCTTGGTGCTGTGAAGTGAAACTATTTTAGCAATGTCAACAAAAGCAGCTGGCTCGTTTGCATGATGTTCTTGGCACAAGGCTGGTCAGCCTTGGATATGCCATGTCTGCCTCACAAGCTGGATGTGTGTGCTCATGTGTCAGTCCTCTGCAGCCTATGTAGGTTGAGATCCAAGGAGGAAAAAAAAAACCCTCTCCTGCATCCGCCTGAGGCAGGCACGCAGCCCAAATCAGCTATCTCACAGCAGAGACCTTGAGCACACCCAATAACAAACAGCACTTGAGGGAGACTTCCATATACCCATCCATCTTTCCACCAAGCAGAACATGGGCTTTCTCACAAGCGCTTTGCTACTGAAGCTACTCTTCACGTGCCTATCACTGGTACTGCCCATGGACTGTCTCCTGTGTTGTGGCAGGGCCTGGCTGTCCTGCCCACTGAGAACATGCAATTGTCTGTCCAACATCTATGGAACCTTGGGACAATGGGAAACAGCCGGCTCTACTCCATGCAGGGAATTCATTCACAGCACCAGGGGTCCATGGAAGCTGGAGTCTGCACCCAATGCCTGAAGCTTCAAAACCACCTTGAAATCTGAGCTATTCCCCGTTTTGACCAGCACTTTGGAGGCGGATCACAAGCAAAGAGCAGTGGAAAATTCAGCTCTAGAGGCAATGTCTCAGATAAAGGATAAAGGAAAAGGCTCTTTGCAGCTCCAAACCCTTTTGTTACATTTTCTGACAGATTCCATTGAGAGAGGTGGCCAGCCTGAGACCTCTTTGTCTTGCCCGTGGCAGCTCTCCTGTCGCTCCACCAATGGAGAGACAATGACTGGAAACTTGCATCCCACGGCAAGCACAGCAATGCTCCAATGCTCCCAAGGCAGGCAGGTGTGTGCCTGTCCGAGGAACATCCACAGCTGCACCAGCAGCCTCAAGCACCTCTCTTTTCTAAGCAAGAAGAGTTTAACTCAGTAAACTAAGCAGGGGTATTTGAAGCTTCAAGGACTTTGCACTTGTGACGCTTTACAAACTTTAGAGAATGCTGTCTGTTTAGTCTGTGAGCAGGGGCAAGAGCTTACACTGCAAGCTAAACATACACAAACAGCACTTTCTCAGGAGGAGCACGTGTAATAGTGCAACATCAGGCATCTCCCATAATAATAAACACGCCGGTAACCCGAGCTGAGCAGTTCAGCTCCTCACACGAGCCCTTTCCAAAGCAGAGATCCGTCCCCAAGCACCACCGCTGCACCACGGCACAGAGAGAAGGCAGGAGGAGAACCTGCAAGGGCTGCAGCACCCATAGGTTCTGCACAGACCCTCCTGCTGCCCCAACCCATAACACCTCTCCCTCCCAGAGGGCAAACCTCTCCAAGCGAGAGGTAAAGAAGAAGAAAGTCATCTGAGGTGACTTTGGAAGGGGAAAAGCTTAATTTGGCATTAAAAATGTTTATAAAGGCTACACTCGGCATTCACACAAATCAGCGTAAATAGCAGCAGAGCTGGTCCATGGGTGAACTTGTTGGGATGTGGTTCTGACTTGCACCGTTAAAAGCTGTCCTCTGGTACTTCCAGGTTCAAGCAGGGTTGGTTGTTCCACAGCAGGACTCGCAACCTGCTGACCCCCAAATCCTGCCTTTGGTATCTCCTCTCTGAAACACACTTGGCTTGACAGAGCTATAGAAAACAGAAGTTACAGAAACAGGGAGATGCTTTTGCAAAGGTCTGACCTTCCAAGGATTTCCCTGTGAAAACAGGGACACATCAAGATCCTAACCTTGCTAACAAGGACATTTTATGACGAGTACCAGGGGGCCACAGGCAGCTCAAAGCCTGGCCCCGGGGCATAGGCTGCACACCCATCACCCTCCCAGGAACCTGGATCTGTGTGCTGACAGATTCAGTGACAGAGGAACTGGTGCCGGCTGTGGTTTAACCCTTCACACGTGCATACAGCACAGACCTCACCATCTGGTGGGTGCAGCAGGCACCACCCTTCTGAGCTGGCAGCATCTCTCCCTGCTTCAGCTGCTGGCACAAGGCAGAATCACCACCACCAAGGAGTGCTGCAGCACCAGCAACATCACCTCGGCCATAGCACCCCACCACGACCAGGACAACAGCATGCCCCCAACACCACGGCCAGACCCAGTTTCCACAGCACCTTCCCATGCCAGCAGTGCCCAAGGAAGCTGTGGCTGCCCCGTCCCTGGCAGTGTTCAAGACCAGGCTGGACGGGGCTTGGAGCAAGCTGCTCAAGTGGAAGGTGTCCCTGCCCGTGGCAGGGGGATGGAGATGGATGAACTTTGAGGTCCTTTCCAACCCAAACCATTCTGTGATTCCCACCTGCACTGGTGAGGGCCCCCCTTGGGCTGCCACAAAACCACAGCAGGAGCACCAGCACCTCGGGCTCTCATGTGGAAAACACACAAGTATACTCTGACCTACAAATATTACACAATCACCTCCTCGGGCCAGCTTCAAAAAGGCAGATGCCATAAGCACGAGTTCTCTTTGAGAACAGATTTTTTGCAACATGTGCTTTTGGCTCCTCAGTTCTGACTGTGCAACCCTTCATTCACCTGTTCCAAGGCAGAGCTTACGCTGACTTGAAGCTCCACATCAGCTGCCAAAGGCTGCAGGGCCTAGGCCCTGATGTCACTAAATGAGGGCCCCATCCCTTGATTTCAATATACGCTAAAATCACAGCCAGAAAAATGTAGAGCAAAATTCCAATATCCTGCAGAGAGGCTACAAGAACAGCAAGGAATGAGCAAAACTTCTTTCCACAGAGAAATAGGAAAGGTTGCAAGAAGAGAGCAAATGGCTTGCTTTCTTCTTGCAGTTAATTCAGAACTGGACGATTTTTAATGGGAAGCACGCCAAAGACATTTCTGTCATTTTCTCAGCAGAGGCAAAGACTATTGAACATCTTGCATTAGCTACACTGTCGTTTGGTTCAGGCCAGCAGACAAATTGGACATTTTTCTTATTAATGTCTTAGCTGCTGGCATTAAAATAAAGTAATACCATGACATCTTTAAAAACTTTGCTACAATAGACAGTTTTTCCACAGTTCTGGAGCATGGCATATTTCAAAGCGGATGAATTATGCTTTTCAAGCACTAAACATCACCACAAGGTACTTTCCACAACTCCAGTTACCCAGCACCAGTTTTGCGTTACACACTGAGAACCCAGGTTACGGAGAGCTTATTTGTGCCTCTTCCCAGAGACGTTCCCACGGACAATGAGCACACGAGTCATTTTTCCCTGTCGCCGTGCCCGCACTGCAGCTCACAGTGCAACAAGGCAATGCAGGCGGTGCGCTTCCACGGGCTGTGCCTCTGAAGGTGACAGGGAGCACATCAGTGGTGTGCTCCTGCCCGGCCGCCTGCTGGGAACAGGCTCTCCAGAGAGAGCTGAGCTCTTCTGCTCACACTCATGAAAACGAAGCCGAGTGGAACGAAGAACTGACCGCGCTGCTCAGGACTTCTGCACACTGCGTGTGACCCAGATCCCCAGGCCGAGCTCAAGAGCTCCTTACGCTATTCCAGAAGGCTCTGTCTGGAGTTTACGACTTCCAGCCCTGCAGAAGCACAGCTCGACACATCCTATCGGCACATCTCAGCATGAAGATTCCTGCTTTATGATGGGACACAACATCCCTGTGCGCCCCGACAGCACACCAATTGCAGACAAGCATATTTATTTCCAGCATCAAGGCACAGGAATCCCAACAAGCCCAAAACACGGCAGGGCCTCAGAGCAGACATCCAGTTTCTAACAGGAGACAAAGAAACCTGGTGCAGAGCTCAGGGTCCGGCATGACTTTGATAGCTGAATGCAACAAAACCACCCCAATTCACCTCCGTAAGATGTGACAGAGGTTAGGTGAGATAAGCTGACAGAGGGCAGATTGAAGCTCTTCCCTGTGAGGGTGCTGAGGCGCTGGCACAGGGTGCCCAGAGAAGCTGTGGCTGCCCCATCCCTGGCAGTGCTCAAGGCCAGGTTGGACACAGGGGCTTGGAGCAAGCTGCTCCAGTAGAAGGGGTCCCTGCCCGTGACAGGGGGTGGAGCTGGAGGAGCTGTAAGGTCCCTTCAACCCAAACCACTCTGTGATTTTACCTGCCTTGCCCTCAGCCACATGGCTTCCCATCAAAGACTATTTCCCACACAGGTTTCCTTAACAGAGCTACACAGATGAAGACCCTTTTAAATCTTTTTATTGTGCTATAAAGGAGCACAACTGCATGTTCGGACTGGTCCTTACTTCTGGTCCAGCAGCACTGAGTGGCTGTAGACCAGAGGAGACACCACAATGCATGACACCACACACAAGCAGCCCCTGCCCTACATGCTGCACTATCCAAGCAATACAACAAGCAATACAGCAAGCTCACACTAATCATGAGGCTGAGCATGTAATGCATACACACAGCCTCTCCTCCAAGTGTATCCCCCCATGTGAGGGAGAGAAACTTAGCAGCACCTTTCTCTCCAGGCTGCTGATTAAAAACCAAATACCCCCCATGTCCCCATCACTGAAATCAGGTCATTTCATAGAATCATAGAATGGTTTGGGTTGGAAAGGACCTCAAGATCCTCTAGTTCCACCCCCCTTGCCATGGGACTGGCCATGAAGCAATAAGGTCATTTCATTAACATCTCCAAAACCATCCATTACCCCGTAATTAGTGGAAAATAACAACAGCAAAACATTAAGAGGAAGACAAATGTGTGAATCAGGGTCTCGAGGTTTGCTAAGGAAAGGTCATGGAAAGCTCTCCTGCATCGGGCTGGTGTATGGTGGTACTGTGACACGAGTGTATTGCAGCCCTTCTCATCCAGGATGGGGCCGAGTCATTGGACAAGTTTAAATTAATGGGGAGGGCACTAAAAACTACACTGGCATGATGCTCAGCTGGGGGAAACTGGGATAACTCCTTGAGCTCTGGTGCAGGAACTGATTTACAGCAGTGGAGGATGTGGCCCCATAATGCTGAGGAGCAGTGAAGATGCCATGTGCTGGTGAGCAGCAAGCTGGAGCAGTGCAGAGCTGACAGAGCCAGCCAAAGGGCCAGATCTATCACCATGGCCTCCCACAAGCACGATGCACGGCTGCCAGGGACTGCGCAGAGCTGGCCGAGCCCTCGGCTCTCACGGACAGTGAAGGACTTTCCATGCAGACTGCTGGATCCTGCTGGCCAACACCAGAGCCAGCACAGCTCTCCTGGAACACGCCTGCCCTCCTTCCTCTCGTCTGTCCCTTCCATCCATTGTTCTGATGGTAGCAGTTCTGAAGGCCAGTTTTACACACGCCCCTTTGAGCTCACTGAATCATCTGCCTCTCCCTGAAACTCTCCTCCACTGAATACAAAAGGGAAGTATTTCTGGAGAAGAAAAAAGCTGGAAGAGCCAAGCGCAGTCACCCTGTTAAGAGAGCAGCGGGGGGGAGCAGCAGCGTGGTTACCTCGAGACAGACCAGGGGAATCCTCTCCGCAGAGCAGGACTCAGCTGAATTCACCACAGCATTGCTCAAGTTGCCCTTCTCACCCCTGCCCTGCAAGTAAGTGCCCAGGCAGGCCCTGCTCATGGGTTTATCACATCTCCTGCAGGTTGTCACAGCACAATCTGAGCTCAGGACTACATAAGCAGTTCATAACTGATTATCTTTCTTTGTAGAGTGGTTTGGGAGATGCTTTCCTTTCAAAATCATCAGCAGGAAAGACCATAAATAGAGCATCCTCAGGGGGGAATTAAAAAAATCAAACAAAAAACCCAGAAACCCAGCACCCGGCTTTGAAGAGCAGCCTGTTCTTCACAGCTGATTTCAAAGCTGTATTTCCACATATGCCAACCTGCCGAAGGGCTGGGAAGAAGACCCACCACTGCTGTTAATACTTGGATAACATGAGTAGGGCACAGAGGCCAGAGCCAGGCACTTAACAAACAGGAGATGGTCCCTGCACCAAAGGCCTCCAAACCTAACTGGGCACAAAGCAGGAGCTGTAGGCGCAGGGCAGACGCACAGCTTGCTTGGGAAGAACACAGGATGTCTGAGAGCAGCATCACGGGATGTGCTCCAGAACCAGGGAGCATACCTTTCACTGCACAGCGCCAGCCCTGCCTCCGAGAGCTGCCAGCGCCGAGAGCCGCTCACAAGGCAAAGGCACAGCTAAGGAAGACCTGCAGCCTGCAAACGGGAATGACAGAGGAGATCTCAGGGTCCCGGTGTAAGCAGGCACTGCAGGAGTGTCTTAATGGTGAGCGTGACTCACCTGAACTAACTGCAGCATTGCTCAAGGCACCAGAGCACCAGGACATCCCGGTGCATTCCCTGCTGCTGAGCAGCACCTCACCCCCTGCTCACAGACCTCCCCTCCTCGCCACTTCTGCAAATCACAGAATAGTTTGGACTGAAAGGGACCTTAAAGCTCATCCAGTTCCAACCCTGTGCAGTGGAAAGTGTCCCTGCCTATGGCAGGGGGCTGGAACTGGGTGAACTTTAAGGTCCCTTCCAAATCAGTGATTCTATGAAAGCACTGCCTCTGTACCCCTCTTCCCTCACAGGCACTCTCAGAGGAGCAAGGCGAAAGACCAGGTACACCTCTGGAACAACGCAGCCTCCGTGCTCCCATGCACTCACCTTCTCAGTTCCAGTGCTCCCACCGAGCCCGGCATGGGTGCCACACACCGACAGACAGACAGTCACCAGCTCTCCCCAGCAAAGAGCACAGAAGCCCACCAAGGACCTCAAGAAGCTTCTGCCCCTCCCGGTCATCACGAGCCCTCATGAGCAACACCTGGGAGCAGCACTGCAAACTCAGCCCAGGCAGAGCACGCTCTGCAGGTCAACAACAGCACCACATGGAGAACAGCAAAACAGGTGATTTGGGGGTTATTTTAACTCTGAAAAGCTACCAACCACCTGAAAGTGCCATTCCCACGTGTTCTGCTTCAGTCTTCCCCTGCTCCCAGCCTGAAGGCAAAGAAAACTTTAAGGTCAGGAAGAGCTTTCCTAGAATCACAGTGGTTTGGGTTGGAAGGGACCTGAAAACTCCTCCAGCTCCAACCCCTGCTCCCACGGGCAGGGACCCCTTCCACTGGAGCAGCTTGCTCCAAGCCCCTGTGTCCAACCTGGCCTTGAACACTGCCAGGGATGGGGCAGCCACAGCTTCTCTGGGCACCCTGTGCCAGCGCCTCAGCACCCTCACAGGGAAGAGCTTCTGCCTAAGAGCTCATCTCAGTCTCCCCTATTTGGGCAGGTTCAAGCCATTCCCCTGCCCAGAGTACCCCTTGCAGTGCTGGCACCCATGGGCACCGCATGAACCTTTGCATTTGGGGTTGCTGGGCAGCACCCACAGCTCTGACCTTCATCACCTGCGGCACTTTGTGCAGCAAAGCTTGGGGGATGGAAAAGCATATTTGCAAGAGATCACAGAATCACAGAATCCACCAGGTTGGAAAAGCCCTTTAAGCTCATCCAGTCCAACCCTTACCCCAGCACTGCCAAGGCCACCACTGCCCCATGGCACTGAGGCCTCGTCTCCACGGGGTGTGAACCCTTGCAGGGACGGTGCCTGCAGCCCTGCCCTGGGCAGCCTGTTCCAATGCCTGAGCACCCTCTGGGGCAGGAATTGTTCCTCAGCTCCATCTAAACCTGCCCTGGTGCAGCTTCAGGCCGGTTCCTCTTGTCCCATCCCTTGTTCCTTGGGAGCAGAGCCCAGCCCCTCCTGGCTCCATCCTCCTGTCAGGCAGCTGTAGGGAGCCATCAGGTCCCCCCTGAGCCTTCTCTTCCCCAGACTGAACCCCCCAGGTCCCTCAGCCGTTCCCCATCACACTTGTGCTCCAGGCCCTGCACCAGCTCCGTTGCCCTTCTCAGGCCCCGCTCCAGGACCTCAATGTCTCCTCTCTTGGAGTGGAGGGCCCAGAACATAAATACTTTGAAAACTCCCCTCCTGGCTGCACAAGTCAAAGATAAGCCACACGCAAACTGCAGCCTGAACCAGAACATGAGGTAATGACTTAAGAGATGGAAGTTTAATCCCCACTCTGCCACAAACTCACTGTGACCTCAACCACATGCTCCGTGTCTCTGTCACGGATTTCACTCTCCATCTGTCTCAGCTCTGCACAAGACCTGCTTCTCCCTACATGTTTGTATGATTCTTAGCAGGAGGCAGATGCAGTAACTAAACACACCACAGCACTGCCCTAATGGGGAGGACAGGCTGAAATCTAGACGCTGCATGATGCAAACTGAATTTTTCTGTTTAAGGTACTTAGGGCACCCCTCGTGCACAGCAGCTAAATGCCAACAGAGTGCTTCCCTTTTTCTCCCCTAAGCAGCAGTAGCCTCACTCCTGCTGCAGAACAGTGAGGACTTGGGCTCACTGCACAAGAAGGGCCTTAAGGGGTGAGGGAACAATGTGCTGCAGCACTTCATCTCTGTGCCAACCCTGGACCACACCACAGTGATCACACACCCCGTTACCAAGGGTGCTGAGTATCAGCAGCTCAGCCAGGCACTGGGAAGATGCCTTAACCAGGAGCACGCTTCACCTCTTTCACTCGCTTCAAAACCCCAGAAGTCTTCCCAAAACAGATTTTAAGTAACTTTACACAGATGGCATGCATCCCATTTTACCTTCCCAAAGGGTAGGGGTAAAGCCAAAAGCAACAGCATTTTTTCCTCCAGGAAAGCAGAGCAGGAATGAGATGAAACAGCCTCTTTCAAGAACATGAAAGCATGGAAGAACATTGATTTCTCTAAATTTATGAGCTCTGTGACGTCCTATATTCTTACAGAACAGGCATTTTGATAGAGGCTTTTATTTACAGATAAACAAGAGGGGGTTTAGGAACCACCTGATCACTCAAAAGCTAGCTCTTCAGGTCTGCTAGCTCTCCAGGTCAGTAAAACACCTCCACCTCAGACCCGGCAGAAGGTGTAACTCGTCTCTAATGCTCAGACTCCATGGGAGCCATGGATTTCTGTGTACGCTTCTCCACCATCATGAACAGTGCTGGGGTTAGGCTTGTTAAGTGAAGATAAGATTTCCTGTCGGCTGTCTTGTGCCAAAACTCATCATTGGAGATGTGATTGCTGCCGGCTTCCCGGACTGTTCACTACCCGGTTGTGCAGAAATTCATGTTTTCTTAATTGTTCCTCTCAGCCTGACCATTACGCTGAGCATTCACTTCATGCTCTACACAGAAGTGCAAAGAAACTGCTTAGCACCTGGTAAAAATACCATTTTTAGATCTCCCTAACATGCCTCCCGGGATCCAGCTCTAAACTAAACAGTACTTTTCTTCTTATAATCTTCACATGCCTCTAGGAATTTTCCTCGTTTTTCCTTGGTCATTCCCCTATTCCCCTGCTTACAACACACACGATACTCAAGGTGACGGTTTCCCACTGATCTGCATAACAGCACTCGGTATTTTTAACCTGATTCCCTACCCGTTTCTCAGGGGTCTCTCCACTGGCCCTCTCACACCAGTAACATGTCACCAGTTACAAATGGAAGGTCCGGATGCTGTCAATGTCTTCTCTGCTGCCTGCCAGGTGCAATTTCCACTGTGCCCTGGCACCATGCACCTCTCCTGACAGAGCTGGTGCCCGCTTCTTCTGCCCTGTGATGTTCCAGGAATGGGACAATCTCCTAATACTGCCCAGCTAAGTCTGGGTTTGTCTCCCATTGCATCTGTGGCTGCTACAGAGGTGAATTTCAGGGACATAACAATGCAGCTTCCTTTGCACTGCCCTGCAGCAGATGTCAGCGCTTTTTTTCTTTTCCCTAATAAACTGGAAGTTTTCAGAGGCACAAAAAGAAGATGGGCAATAAGTACCCCTCCCTAGTGTGTCCTCAGGGCAGCTCCTCTCCCTGACCCAAGCTCCTTCCAGCCACGCTCCCTGCCATGGAGGCTGGGCAATCCCAAAGTGGATTCAGAACTCCAAAGTTCCCTGCTCTTTCCCTGTTCTGCATCTCACCGAAACTCTCTCTGAGCTCCCTTTTCTGCTGTCAGCAACCTCCTCAACTCAATTCACCAACCCTCCCAGCTGCCAGCTATCCAAAATGCTGGTCAAAAATCTCCGTGAGCCACTGTCCAGAACATGGGCTTCGGATGGAGCAGTGAAGTCAACAGGAAAGGTCCCTCTGACTTCAGAGGGGAGGGAAGGGGAAAGGGAAGGCAAAAAGGGCAAGAATTGCAGCAGTAAGAGTGGGCTATGGGTTGCTGCCCTGATCAGCCCAGGCTGCTGCATCAAACTCACACATCATGGTTTTCTTTTCTCATGGCAGACAGCAAGGAAAAAATTAGCAACTCTGAACCAAGAATAACCTAAAGCTGATTTCCCATCAGTAACAGTGCTACTTTCTTGTCCTGGCTTCAGCAGTAGCAGTCATTTTTCTCCTTCTTAGTAGCTGGTGCAGTGCTGTGGTTTTGACTTTCAGCCTGGGAACAGCGGCTGATAACACCGATGGTTTTAGTTGCTGCTCAGTAATGTTTACTCTGACCAAGGACTTTGTAAGTCTCATGCTCTGCCAGGGAGGAGGGGAAGCTGGGAGGAAGCAGACACAGGACACCTGACCCAAACTGACCAAAGAGGTATTCACAGAACCACAGAACAGTCAGGGTTGGAAAGGACCTTAAGATCATCCAGTTCCAACCCCCCTGCCATGGCCAGGGACACCTCACACTAAGCCAGGTCACCCAAGGCTCTGTGCAACCTGGCCTTGAACACCACCAGGGATGGAGCATTCACAGCTTCCCTCAGCAACCCAAACCAATTCCATACCACAGCACGTCGTGCCCAGTATATAAACTGCGGGCAGTTACCCGGAAGGGTTAGATCACTGCTCGGTCAGGCTGGGTATCGGTCAGCAGGTGGTGAGCGGTTGTATTATCTCCCCTGGTTATTTCCCTTATCGTTATTGTTATTATTGGTGGTAGCAGCAGTGGTTTATGTTATACCTTAGTTACTGAACTGTTCCTGTCTCAACCCGTGGGAGTTACATTCTTTCGATTCTCCTCCCCATCCCTCCGGGAGCTGGGGGAAGAAGGGGGGAGGAGTGAGCAAGCGGCTGTGTGGCTCTGGGCTGCCAGCTGGGCTTAAATCAGAACATTTCTACACAGTTCCGAGATCCTGTGGCTGCTTCAACCTGGAAAACAAGACTTCACGTGGCTGAAAAAGCAGTAATTGAGATCCTCACTGTCACCAGACAGCCCCCTGGCTCTTGGAAGGCTTGGGTGATGCGCTGCAGTAGCACAACTCTCTGATGGAGATACTTACCTTTGAAAGAGCAGTGAGAAATGAGCTGTTTCCAAACCCACGTGACAGAGGCAAATACCTGGTTTGATGGGAGTATTTTTGTTTTGGCACTGCCCCTTCCCTCCCAGTTACATATTTCTCTCCTTACTTGGAGCTGACACAGCGGGAAGAAGGATGGTTGGAGTCAGAGTAAATGTTTTAGTCGACCTGGAATAAAGTATTTTATTTTGGTTTAGTTTGTCCTCTTTTGCACTTGTAGCTGAATATAATTCTGCAGAATTAAACGTAGTCTCAAAATACCATAGAGACATGCTGGGAAAAGAAGCAGAGCAGCTCTTCCTCCCCCACCCCTCAAAAAGAGAAAAGAAACCATGACTTTTCACCAGGAAAATTCTCCAGGAAATCTTTACAAATCCTTTACAGAACCCTACAGTCTACAAGAAATGTCACCCTTGCAGCTCTGCTGCACACTCGGCAGTGAGCCCACCCTGCAAGCCAAGGGCTATGTCTGTGTCTGGAGGGGAGCCCCAGCAGAGAGGACCCTGCATCCCAAAGCAGCATCTCCGGGGAGGTACCGGAGGGAAGCAGCCTA